CAGTTGCTGCTGCAGTTGCTGCTGCAGTTGCTGCTGCAGTTGCTGCTGCAGTTGCTGCTGCAGTTGCTGCTGCAGTTGCTGCTTCCCCGTGCGGACGTGTCATTCGCCATGCAGCTAAGGCTCAGAGGGGAATCAGCAGCAGCAGCAGCAGCAACAGCAGCAGCAGCAGCAGCAACTGCAGCAGCAGCAGCGGCTGCTGCTGCTGCACATAGCGCAGGCTCCCCACAGGAGCTGCAGCCATGCAGAAGACAGCATTGAAGCAGCGCTGCTGCTGCTGCTGCTGCAGCACTGCTGCTGCAGCAGCACTGCTGCTGCTGCTGCTGCTGCCACCGGCCCTATTAATACTTGTATTACATTGAAATCCAAATATTTATATTTATATATTTTGATTTTTAATAAATTTAAATTCAAAATTAAATTTAAATGCAAATGGATGCAGTTTGGCGGAGGCGAAAGCCGCAGTTGATTTAATAACTACAGAAGCAGCAGCAGCAGCAGCAGCAACAGCAGCAGCAGCAACAGCAGCAGCAGCAGAAGCAGCAGCTGCTGCTGGCGTGCCTCTTTGCTGCTGGGGCAGCGGAGGCTGCTGGTGCAGGTGGTGCTGCAGCGTTTGCTGCAGCAGCAGCAGCAGCAGCAGCAGCAGCAGCGTCTGCTGCAGCAGCTGCTGCTGCTTCAGCTGCAATTGGATTTCCAAATAGAGCAGTTTAAACCTGCTGTTGCTACAATATCATATTTAGGGTTTGTTGCTACCCACAGGGGGGCCCCCCAGTGGGGCCCCAACGCAGTGAGGGGCCCCCAAGTGCTGCTGCAGCAGCAGCACTCTTGCTGCCAGCCTTCCCCCCAAATATCTCCCGGGGGGCCCCCGGGGGCCCCCAGGGGCCCCCAGTCCTTCTTGTCTGTGTGGGCGCATGCAGCGCAGTACCTGGGGGCCCCCCAGGGGCCCCCCAGGGGCCCCTCCCAGGGGCCCTCCGGGGGGGTCCCCCCCCCCTGGGGGCCCCCCTGGGGGCCCCCAGGGGGGCCCCCCTGGGGGGCCCCCTGGGGGGCCCCCCCCGGGTTGTTTGCTGCTTTCAAGTCATAGGCATAAACCCATCCATCTTTGTTGCCCATAAAGACAGTACTGCCATCAGCAGCAGCAGCATGAATAAAGCCTTCTCGGGAGACCCCGCTGCTGCTGCTGCTGCTGCTGCTGCTGCTGCTGCTGCTGCTGCTGAGCAGCGAGGGGGCCCCCAGGGCCCCCAAAAGGGCCCCCCCCAGGCTGTCCACGGGGCGGCCAAAGAAGGCCGGGGGGCCCCCCGGGGGCCCCCAAAGGGCCGCGGGGGCCCCCGAGAAGGTACTAAAAGCCAAAAGGCGCCCCAAGTCAGTACCCAGCAGCAAGAAGTTGCCGTCGGGGGAAAAAGTCAAAGAAGTGGGCACTTCTTCCCGCTGCTGCTGCTGCTGCTGCTGCTGCTGCTGCTGCTGCTGCTGCTGCTGCTGCTGCTGCAGCAAGTAGGGCTTGATGGAGAAGGTCAGAAAAGGGTCTGCGGGGGCCTCCGGGTCCCACAAACTCAGGAGGCCCCCCCCCTCGTAGAGGGCCAGCAGGCTGGGGGCTGCATGCAAGTTTGGGGCTGCATGCAAGTTGGGGGCTGCATGCACGTTTGGGGCTGCATGCAGTTGTGGGGCTGCATGCAAGTTTGGGGCTGCATGCAGTGCATGCAAAGCAGCCAAAGGGCGGCCAGTAAAGGTCTTTTTCTTCCAAATGCAAAAGTCCTTTTCCAAACAAAAGTACTTCACCATTCCGTCGTCTGTACAGCACACAAACGCGCTCTTTCTCGGGTGTACAGACACCCCGCTCCCAGGCACCACCCGACCCCCCACTCCAATTACTTTCACATATCTGTTTTCCCGCAAGTCCCACAGCCGCAGGTTGTAGCAGGGGCCCCCGGGGGGCCCCCCTGGGGGGCCCCCCGGGGGCCCCCCGCCCGGGGGGGCCCCCGG